CACCTCATACTGATGGTCACACAGGACCCACCCCCATTCTCTTCACCTGGCCCCTTTGGCTTCTCTTACCCTTTTCTTGTTCTTTTTAATCTCCAGATGGTGGGTGTGCTCACCAGAGAGAGAGAGAGAGAGAGAGAATCACCCTTCAGTGGGGCATGATCATGCCACGATCTCCTCTCCTATTTCTCCTTCCTTTTGGGGTTGTGGGCACACATACACAGGAGCCTGGTGAGCTTTGCAAGCCACTGAGGTGAGACTTGACCAGCATTCTACCATGTGGGGTCTAGCTCCCTGCACACAGGCTACCTCTGTCCTAACTTTTTTTAAAAAAAAGAATTATTTAATTTTATTTATTCATTTTTTAAATGTTTATTTCTATTTCTTTTATACATTCAATTCCATGTTTCTTAGCTTGCAAAGTGAACATTCCAACATGTACATATTTCTCACCAGTCCAGTTGAGAATACTATATACGTTATCTTCAATAGATAATAACCTATTTCTTTGTCCCATCAATGCCTTGTCTCTCTATTTTTCTCCTTAATGTCCTTCCTCAGACTCTACTCCTTCACCCACCCTCTTCCCACACTGTATCTGGTATCTATAACCATTTTATAGGTTTCTATATCCTCTAGTCATTCAGTTTTGGCTGTAGAGTACAGACAGATGAATGGATTGAAAAAGTATGGCATATATTCTATGGAATACTACTCAGCCATAAAAATCAAGACCTTGGCTTTTGACAAAAAGTGGATGAATATGGAAGATTTACTGCTGGCCTCTTTTCTAGTCCTATTCCACCTCCGGCCCCCTGACTGTCAGGGCTGCCCATGCCCCTCAGTGCCTCTCAGGGAGGGTGTCAGCCTGCTGCTCACACCCCTTTCAGCCACGGGGGCTCCACGCACTAGCACTTGCCACCTTAAACTGAATGTCCCGGAATCATCCTGTCTGGCAACCTGTGACCCCCTGCATCCTGTCTGTATCAGTTTCCTTTTTATAAAAGGTGGTGCTGAGAACTGTGGTTGCCAGGAGCTGAGGAAGGGAAAGGTTAGTGTTTAATGGGGACACAGTTACAGTTTTGGACGGTGAAAAGGTCCCAGAGATGAACAGTGGTGATTCTAGTCCATTTTATTACTAATAACCAAAAACTGCCTGGTTCTGAGCAATTTAAAAGAACAGAGGTTTATTTGGTTCACAGTTTTGAGTCCAAAGTCTCAGAACCGCGTTTGCACTACGCATGGTGAGGAGCAGGAGCTGGAATAGAGCAGAATGTGTTCTGTGTCCTCCTGGGCGCCCATTATCAGGCCCTACCCTGATGGCCTCCACCCTAATCTCTTTCCCAAAGCCTCACCTTTTGACACCATAACTGGTCACAGTTTTCACCTTCTCAGTCCTATTACAATGGCTCAGCACATGAACCTGGGGGGACCCTTCGAACTACAGCAGTGGTGAAGGCTGTACCACAATGTGAATGCACTTACTGCTGCCGAAGTGCACCCCTAAAATGGTTAAGGAGGCAAGTGTTATGTTACACATATTTTGCCATCATTTTTTTAATGAAAGTGCCAAATAGTGCCACTTCAAGATCATCTCACCGATTACATAGGATGGTGTGCAGGGAGTGCTGTCTGCAGTGGCCACATCTGGATATAGTTCAATAAGTGACCCACATTCTTGCTAGGTATTGGTCAAACTCCTCCAGCTGCCTGCTGGGCACCCCAGCCATCTGGGCTGACTGGTTGGAAACAGAGCTGGGCTGAATTCTACTCCCAGCTGCCCCTCAGCACGCTCCCATGGGCCTGACAGAGGAGGTAGGGGTGAGATGGGACCTGCCAGTCAGCATGGATTCAAGGACAGTCTCTGCTGGGGAAGTAGGGTGCACAAAGCGCAAGTGAGGACATAAAATGCTTTGCCAGGGCCAGAAGGTGTCATGGCAGCTAAGACACTGGACTCCCATAGGGCTGACTGCAGTTCAAGTCCCAGACCTAGAGGCTTGTTCTTTCTTTATTTCTCTCTCACTCACTCTCTCTCTCTCTCTCTCTCTGGTGAGTGCACATGACCTACAGAAAATTAAAATAATAATAAATAAAATTAAATAATTTTTTTTAAAATAAGGCTTTGCCAATGTGATAATGTCAGATGAATACAATAATTAACAAGTCGGGTTTGGGGGCCAGCAGGTGGCATGGTAGTTAAGGGTGCTGGACTTCCACGTGGCAGATCATGGTTCAAGTCCTGGACCTGGCAGCTTGCTTTCTTACTTTCTCTCTCTCTTGCTCTTACTCTCTCTCACTCTGTCCCTCTCTGGTCAAATTAGAAGTTAAATAAAGTAATAACTTTTTTTTTTTTTTAAAAATAGGTTGGGTTTGTATTTTGGGTATCTTTTTATTTTCCAGTAATTTATTTCTATTTAATGTTTTGAAACTACTATTTATATTAGAAATTGTATAACTAGAGTAGAAATTCTTAAAAGTGGGACAGGACTTGAACCGTGGTCAGCCACATGGAAGTCCAGCCCCCTTAACCACCATGCCACCTGCTGGGACCAACTATTGGCATGGTGGCACTTTGAGTCTCAGAACCAGCGGCTTGAAAAACACGCTAGGCACATGTGTGTGTCCAAAATCCGAAGCAGAGAATGGAGGAGAGGGCACTGTGGTGTGGCCATCCCCCCCCCCCCCCAGGGAGTGAATTTTCACTTTCTCTCTGTATCTCCTCAGCTGGCACACATGTCCTGTAGCTAAATAAATAAATAAATATAAAAGATAATCGATTAAACTGAATGAAAACTAATTGGCCTTTTACCATAAATATTAATAGTGTGAGAGGCTCCAAACTGGGCCGAGCCACATAACAGATCAATTCCTAAATCTCCGCATCTGAACTTCCATGAGTGTGGCTGGGCGGCCCTCCTCAGGGCAGCAGAAAGAGGAGGCCAGAGCAGAGCGCTGGCCTGACGCTCTGTATCTGTCCTCTGTTGCGGTGCTGCCCACAGACATGTGAGCCTGGCCAATGTACCATCAAGGCTTCAGCTGGCTCATGATTATGAGGCTGGAGAGTCAAGGGCACCTGGCTGGCCTCTGATGCTACATGAGGCGGGACAGAGAAGCAGGCCGGCTTGGAGGCAAATGCAAGGAAGGGCACGTGCTTCCCCCGCCCCATGCTCCCCGCGGCTGGTTGGCGGCTCCTACACCGGCAAAGGTGTTTCTTCCTCTCAGTTCTCTCCCCCTCCCAATACCATTCATTAGGGGCCACATTCTAGCGCAGGAGCCCTTGGGGGGCAAGAGAATCCTAGTGTTAGACTGGCCAGATGGCCTCAGAGAGGCTGGGAAATGCGGCACAGCAGGTGGACGCTGGGTGGCAACGCTGACGCCAACGCATTTCCTCCGCGGACGGCAAACTGCCAGCGCGGCCAAGCCAAGCTGTTCACTGTCTTCGTCATGGTCTGTGTTTCCCAGCTCCCAGCAGTTCCCGTCAGTTCTCAGTTGTAAATAGTCACACATTCTTCAAACACTCGCAGCTTCCTGTCTCTCACAGCTCACGATATTTCTTCTTTTCTCTTTTCTTATAGCATTCCATAAAAATGGCTTTATTGTCTGAAAAGTCGAAATGCAAATGCATTTATAATAAAGCATTTTAAAGATGATTCCTATTTCAATAACCATTTTTATACTGCTTACTACTACAGACCTTTCATGCACATGTGTAATGCATTGCATTAACAGATGATCAATGTATTTCAAAGGCAACAGGCCCAACCTACAAAGAGATGGTTCTCTTGGGCACACAAGGTCCATCTTCCGTTTTGCTATAATCATTCAGAACATTCTGCACATCCTTTCCAGTTTGCACATTTTGATTTCTAGGTCAAAGTCCAGGCTTCAAGACACCTTTCTGGCATTTTATCTCCCCACCCCCCATCCACGAGGGTCTTCAAAAAGATCACAGAAGATGGAATTACAGTAGGAGTTCATTTTGGTGCCAAAAATTTTTGACATCCATGCATAACTTTTTCATAATATACATTTTCCCTGAACTTTTTGACGATCCCATGTCCTTTTTTATTTCTGGCAAGGTAAAGCAGCCTCTGCCTGCTGCCTTCCGGGCCTCGCCTCTTCCCTTCTAACAACTGGAGTCCTGGTGACTGCATAGAAGGGGCCGGATTCCAGGTGTGTTATCTTCTATACTCAGGGCCACAAAC